TTCATTTCTTCTCCTTGCAGAGGATGTCAAGATGGAGCACATTATTAAATAAATGTTTAATAGATGCATATTATACACACAGAAATGCATACATATAAATCATGTGTGTACAGCACTATGAATTTTCACAAAGTAAACACATCCATGTGCTGCCATCCAGATCAAGAAACGGAACATTTTAAAGGCCTCCAGAAATCTCTCCTGTCTCCTGTGAGTTTCTTATTCTTCTTCCCCAAGGGTTAATGCCCTCTGAGTTTCTAAAACAATGCATTTGCTTTTATTGTTTTGACCCACATAGAAATGGAATCATCACGGCATGTAAGCTTTTGTGTCTGGTTTCTTTTACTCAATGTTATGTTCATGAGATACTTCTATGTTGTTGCATAGAAAAATAGTTTGTTTTCTCCCATTTCTGTGTTGTACCTTATATGAATGCACGACAATCGATTTATCCATTTTCTTGTTGATGGACAATTGGGGCTTTTTCCATTTGGAGGCTATTTTGAATAAAGCTGCTATGAACATTCACCCCTTTTGGTGAACAGAGGTCCCATTTCTGTTGGGCGCATTCCCAAGAACTGTAATTTCTGGGTCAAAGGACAGGGACATATTGAGGCAAAAAGAGGTTTCCAAAGTGATCGTACTTATTCTCCCACAAGCCACGCATGTTAAGTTTCCACCTTTCTACACTGTCACTGCTTGATATTGTCATTGTTTTTCATTTGAACCAGACTGATAGCCATGTCAGAATACTGAATTGTGGCTTTAATTTACATGTTCTGAGGACTAGAAAAGTTAATCCATCTTTTCAAATGTTTATCTGCCATTTTAGTAGTCTTGTTTGTGAAATGCCTGTTCATGTCTTTTACCCATTTTCGTGTCTTACTGGATTGTCTGCCTCTTTCCTGTTGGTTTTAGGAGTTATTTATATATTTTGCATAAGAGTTCTTTGTCAGATGCATATATCACAAATATTTCCTTCGACTCTGCAGTTTGCAATTTTATTCTATGAATAGCAGCATCTGATGAACAGAAATTCTTAATTTTAATGTGGTTCAATGCATCAATCATTTTCTTGGTACTTAGTGTTTTTTGTATCCTAGTGAATAAATACAAGCCGATCCAAAAGTCATGAAATAGTCTTCTGTCTTATATTTAAGAAGCTTTTGTTTTTTTTTTCTCTTCCACCAAAAGAATATTGTTCTTCTTCAGGTTTTTTTTTTTTTCCTTTTCTATGACTCCTCTACCTAGCCAGTCTGAGTGAATTATTCCATTTCCTGAATCTCATAAAGGTATGCATAATTTTTACTATCTCTATTATATTGCATATATGTATTTCCCTGCCCTTCCTCTCTGTCTCATCCCCACACTCCGTTCACCAGATTATCCAAATTCTTCCTGGTCTTCTCACTCAATTCTGGTCATGATGCCTGCTAAGTAACTCTGAAATTGGTCCATTTCTCTCAACCCCAGCTGCTACCTTCATGGTCTGAATCTGTGACATTTCATCTTGATTGCTGTAATAGAACCATCTCACTGGTCACCTGCCACCAGTCTACTCCTGTCTAAGTAATTGACCACATGACAGCCACCATGATCTTCCAAAAATATCAAACTTTTCATGCTACCTCCTTTTCAAAAATCCTTCCATGGTACCCATTACCCTCAAATGAGTGTTCAAATCATTAATGTGATGCAGAGGCCTTCCAGAATCTGAAGGATTGTTTGGTCTCTCCCACCACTGGTGTCTCTGCTTTAACTCTTGAGACATTTTCATTTCCTCCTGTGCTCCTTTGTGAAGATATGCCTCCATATCCACACCCCTGCCTCTTCTTCATCCTCCAATTTTCATTCTATGCATCTTCTCTGACTCCCTAGTAGGTTCAGTCTCCATACTGTCTGGTACAAGGAAGCCCCAGGATTTTTCCCCACTACAGTTCCTTATGCCTATTATTATTTGTTTAAGCCCATCTTCTCTGATAGAGTGAATACTTCCTTGGGACACAAACTGTGTCTGTCTTGTTCAGCACTATATCCTTATGCCTAATTCAATGCCAACATGGAGTCTTAAAAAATATGTCTATCTATATGGATATCCTTGAAGGTATCTCTATATACGTACATACTTGATGAATTGAGTTGAACTGATTGGTGCTCATGCACAGGGTTTAGCATTGGATTTGGTATGTGGTCAGGCTCTATAAATGTTGGGTGATTCACTGTCTTTATAAAACCCTAGAATCAGTAATGAAAAGGAATTTAAGACCATCTACTTCAATTACCCAACCCAATGGAATGACAATTAAACAATCTCCATAACAGGGACGCCTGGGTGGCAGTGGGTTAAGCGTCTGCCTTCAGCTCAGGTCAGGAGCTGGAGGGTACTGAGATCAGGCCCTGCATCAGGCTCCCCAGGGAGCCTGCTTCTCCCTCTGCCTGCCACTCTTCCTGCTTGTGTGCTCTCTTTCTCTCTCTCTCTTTCTAACAAATAAATAAATAAGATCTTAAAAAAAAAAAAAATCTCTGTACCATTTCTACCAAATGTCATTTACTTACAACTCTCTGATAACAGAGTCACCCCCTACTTCAACAGAGCATTGCAGGTTGGGCATGAATGTGCACTGGAAGATCTCTTTTATATGGAGCTTAAATTGAGATCTATTTCATCCCAGTTAAAAGTTGGGATCCTTATCATTTCCTGCAAGCAGATCAGGTTTGGCTCATTTTATCCACATTAATGACTTTGACTATCTTTTCTGCAAGACAGCCCTTGAGGTATCTGCAGACAAATCCTACTGCCCCAAGTCAACTCTCTTGAGCTTTTCATCATAAAACAGCCTTCTTCAGGAGTACTGCAACTTCTTAGTCCCCCTTGAATTTAGATGCCCAGACTTGGATCCAATTCTCCAGGTGGGCTCGGCCCAATCTAGAATAGGAAAAGGATATCACCCCCTTTTGGGTGGACGACATACCTCTAATAATGTAACCAATGGTGGACCTGGGTTTTGGAAAACTGAGGCTTCTACTGTAATTGCTTATTGAGACAAGGAACTCAAAATAAATTGTGGAAGTAAATATTTAGAATGAAAAAAGTTGGGGACACAGAAGATGGGGAAGCCCTGAACCCTGAGCTTCATTAGTTTCATGGCTAATCAGCCTCTAGAAGTCCCTAAGATCTTAATAACCTCCTGGTAACATCGTGTTAATCCCTTCTAAATTTACTCCGATTGTAATTCACAGGTATCTCCACTGCCAACATGCACAGCGGGGTTGTCAGGTGCAGGTGGAAGCCAAACTTCCGGACTCAAAGGCTGCTCTCACTTCACAAGGTCGCCGCAGGTAGCACAAGGAACTGGTAAGTTGAAAATCTTGGCACGCCCAAGGCAGATTGGTCTTTCTTATCTACTTTCTTATCAGGCTATTACCAAACCCACTGTCCACTCTTTTCTCCACTAAAGGGGACAGGGTTATTCCTCGCGTGTTTGAGGTTTTTGGTTGTGTTGTCTTTTCTTTGAACACTAAGCCTCTTTCATGGCCTGAAATTCCTGGAGGGGTTTTCGTTCAGTGCTCCCAAGTGACACTACCAAGCCCTCCCTACACCAGTTTCCGACCATCTTCTGTAACAGGAGCATGAATCAAAGGGTTGCCAAGGAACTAGAATATAAAAGTCATATTAGGCTCTGCTTAGCTCCACCTGCCAATCTCAACTGCACTTTCCTCCCACTGACATTCAGAATCACCTTTATCAGGTACCTTTCTAGAAGGTCACGTTTTTAGTCTGCTCAAAGTTAAAGCATGCCATTTTTTTTTCTAACTATAAAGTTAATAAATGATCATTGTAGAAAAGTTAGAAAAAGAACTGGAAGCCTAAAATAGATCATCTACGACCTCACCACCCAAAGGTAACCTCTTTTAACATCTCTGCATCTTTCCTTGCAATATTATTTTCCCTTATCCTTTTGCATTGTTAAGATCATGCCATATATTCGGTCAGAAACTACCCATTTTTAAGTAAACACTAGATCAAATCGCTTTCATATATTCTTGGAAATTCTTATATGTAACATTTTCATACCTGCCTAATATGATACTGTGTGGATGCTACCTCATTGGCTCAGTCCCCTCATGTAGAAAATTCAGATCTTTACATTTTTGCTGCTATTATAAATTATGCTTTTTGGAAATAACACTTTCTGTACTCAAAGCCTTGTCTGTTTTCTCCTATATCTCCTCACTTCTTTATGATGAATTAATAGGGGTAAAATGACTACTTTAAAGAGTTTATTTTCCTTCAGGTCATGAGTATATAGGAAGCGCCTAACAGGGACCTGACATGAAAAAAAAGACATTTAAAAAAAAAAATACATGTTTATATATATCACCCAGGTAATCCCATAATTGTTGCGTTCTTGCTAGCAGTGCCTGAATGTCTGTCTCTGTACACCCAGCCAGCACTGAGTGTTCTCATTTGTAAACTCTAAAAGCGCGCGCACACACACACACACGTATGTGTGTATAAATATATTAAAGACCACAGATGATTACCGAATAAGGAGAAAGAAGATTCCGCAGAACCAACAATGCTATAAAATGCTCCATAGTTCTTAGAATTCAAATAACACCTGCCAAAATACATTGAAAATCAAACACAATAATATAGGAAATTCTGACGGTAAGATATGAAACTTTAATATATATTAGGTCTGGAGCATCTATAAATAACACTGTTTAGACATTTTCATCAAAATAATCGGATAAGGCTCACATTTTCATACTTTATATCTGAAAACTAATTAATAACCATGAATTTAATGTCCTGTATACGTTAAAATTTTAAAAACGCATCATATCCTGTCTTCATTTCCATATTCTTAGTTTTTATCGGTTTCTCTCTCTTTCTTCTACTCCTCCATTCTCCCTCCACATCGTGCCTCCTCAAAATCCCCAGTGTCTCCTTCCCCTCTACCCTCTCTGGTCCCCAATTTCCATGGGCATCCTACCTTGAAGGTGCAGTTTGCTCTCCGTGCTTTGCAGAAGGACGGAACTCACAGAGTCCAGATTGTCATAGCTGTTACAGCCCAGAGGCCCGGTGCGTGTCTCTGTGACCTGCAGTGGACAATGAGGGTGACAGGTGTGAGACAGGTGCCCTTGTCAGACAGGGCCCAGCAGAGTCAGCCCTCAGTGGAGCAGAGCTGGCAGAGAAAGTGTCGTGGCCTCAGCCAAAGGCACCTTGCCATAGCCAAGGCCACGCCTGGGCTATCACCAAACAGACATCAGGGAAGCAGAGCAATCAAGTTCATAGACTGGAGCCATCCCCTGGCTCTCATGTCACAAGGTCACTCTAAGTATGATACGAATTAACACACTGAAGCACTGCAGCATATTTCAAAAGCACGTGCTCTGAAATCAGGAGAATCTGCGTTAAATGCTAAGGGGGCTGTGAACTTGCTGTGCGACCTCAGGAAGTCAATCAACTTCTCTAAGCTTCTGCGACCCGAGGTTAGTAAATCCTTTCCAGGAAAGTTGGGCAACGAGGCATGATGGGCGGATGTGCCTGACACGTGGCCTATGTTCAAACACAGGCACTGTATTACCCCAAACCTCTAGAATGGGTCATGGATACATACGCATAATTAGGTAAGAACAATAACATCATTCCCATTTTCTAAAAGACGTTTCATAACCTTGAAGTAAGCATGGTTTAGGATGAAAAGAGTTTTCTCATCTCTTTCACCTTGACTTTCCATGACTTAACACGATCATTCATAGGGTACTTTTGAGGTCTGCTTCCAACTGGGAAGGCACAGCATCGGTTCTTGTGTGGCCTGAAGACAGCCACAGGACTCAGCACTCTCCCAATGCCAGCTGTGCCCGCCTCCGGCTGGGAAACTTTGTGTCAGTAACTTTTCCCTTCTCAGCCTCAACTTCGCCTCTACAGTATCCTCTTACCCACCTCAGTAGGTAAAGAGATCCTATTTGGGGAGTGGTTAGCACTTCAGAAACATTATATAGAAGGAGGATTATTAGGTTTGGGTTTCTAAGCAATATATTCTTTTTTGGCATACAATCTTATCATAGATGTTATTGAACGAGACTCAAAACTACCAATTCATTTCGCTAAGGAGATCCTGGGAAAGAAAGCTACAGGCAGAACTTCCTCACTCCGGTCAGCTGCTAGTCTTAAACACCCCTGGCAGTGGGACAATTCTGGCCAGCTGGGTCTTGAGGTAGTGTCAAGAAATGGCAAGAAAAATCCAAGTCCCAGACTGAGGATGGAAGACAGTGGTGATCTAAGAATGGCTTCTTGAGTGGTCTCTGTGCAATTTCTCTGAGAAATTCCTTGTAAGGAGGCAGGCTGCACTTGCAGGGTGCACAAAAGAAGATTATCCTCTGACAGAGCTTCAATATCTCAATTCCACATCCCATCCGGGGTAGGGGGTGGGGGGGTGGAGAACCATTTGGTGATAATGAAAACCAGGCCTTTGCTTCACTCCGACACTGATGGCTTCATAAAGATCTGTCTCTCTGTGGTGAGTTCCCTAACAACATAATCCCCCCCAATAGAGGCGATTCTTCTTGGATAAGCTGGCTCTTTGTTTGTCCATCTGATTTATTTCTCTCTTTCCTACTTCCCTCCTCAGTAACTCACTCCCACATTTTTTCTCTTCTCTTGGTCAATTTCTAACACCTCTGCCTGTGTCTCCCTCAATCCCCCTGCCCTAACCCCCTCCCCCCGGCCCCCGGCCACACACACACTTTTTCCCTAGAGATATTTTTGAAAGTCTTAATATAAGGGTAGGTCTGTACTTAATTCAGAAGAAATTAGATCGAAGATTGCGAAGTAGAATGGAGGTATAATCGGGTTTCAGAAAATGTGAGATGCAAAAAATCTGCACTGAAACCCTGAGAAAAACTAATCCGTTATATCAAAAATTCCTCCCTCGTTCTCTTTAGAAAGGTAACCCCTGAATTTATTGCATTTAAAATAGAACCTTTTTTTTTTAAGTGTCTCTGCTCTGAGGCACTGAATCAAAAGACTAGAGCTGCTCGACTCAATGTGGCTGTTTAAGTGAAAATTAATTAAGATGAAATAAACTTAAAAACTTAGGTCCTCGGTAGCCACATATCAAGGGCTCCCTAACCCCGTGTGACTAATGGCCACTGTCTTGGCCACAGATATGGGGCACGTCCACCGTCTTGGAAGGGTATACTGGATAGTGTTAGTGCAGAGGAGTATGGGTCAGCACGTGACAGCCCTCATTTGTAAATAAAAATTGGCACACAGTCATACCCACTTGTTTGCACACTGTTCGTGGCTGATTTTTGCATTACAGCTGCAGAGTTGAGTTGTGGCAACCTTGACCATATGACCTACAAGGCCTGAAATTCTATTACAGAAATAGCTGATGCTTGGCCCAGCGAGTAGAATTCTGGTCCCTGTTCGGGTACTCTAGCTGTCTAGCCCTGAACAACAAAAAAATGTTTTTGGCTCTTGGACCTCAGTTTCCCCATCTGTAAAATGGGGGGCAGTGAGAAATGGGATCAGTAATCTGCCTCTTGCTAGATCTAGATCCTTGCAAAAATCATTTACCCACCGTAGCCTCAGGTTTTTGTGGGTTTTTTTGACCTAGAAAGGATGCCTAAAAATCAATGACAGGATCGTTGATAATTACGCCATGACCATAGCCAGGGCTGCCACAGCAGTACAAGTGGTCACCCTGATGGTAGTGCTCATGATCTTACAGGGCCTCTGACCACCTCAGTCAGAGCAGCTGGCTGGAGGCACAGTTAATGTCAGCTCCATGGGTGTGAAGACAGGGACCACATCGGCCCCTCGGGTCTCAGAATACCCACGTATTCTGAGACGCACTATCATTGTCTTAAGAATCTTCCACCCAGTCCACCCTCGAGCCTACCTTGATTGCTCCAGTTGATATCTGGATCTCATGGAGCCTCCTCATGGTGCCATCACGGTCGACAAAGTAGGATGACGCAAGCTGGTGCAGAGCTTCAACACTTTGGGTGGCATTCCCTGACTTCCTATCGAGGCGACTTTTGTCCATGTACATGGTCAAGGCTTCCTCCCCTGCATGGAAAAGGAAAGAAGTTCAGGGAACCTATTGAACTGTGGGGTGGGAGGAAGGGTTCCAGGGCCTGGCTGCTGACAATAGACTTGACCATCCCACTGATCTTGCCCAAATTCCCTTCTACTTTTGAAAATCAAGAGCATGGTGAAAGAGAAACCGTCTAGAAGCGGCTGTAAGCACTAAGCCCTAGGAGGACAAGGATCATGGAAAGACTCTCAGTTGTCAAGTTCAACCTCTACCAACCCACCACGTGGTTCTCACCAACATCATCTACAACATAACCCACCTTCTCTCCTTGAGACTTAGCGTCTCCTTCTGTAAAATGATGGCTTTGCCCTGGATACTCCTTTCCTCCTCCTGCTTTCTCCTCCGCATCTAGTTCCTCCCCTTTCCTACTCTTTCCTTCTTTCCTCTTCCCCTGTCTCTCTTTCTCCTGCTGCATCCCTTCCCAGACAGACGGATGCATGGACAGATGAATGGATGATGGCTGAAGAGACAGATTGATGAGGGAGGGAAAGAGAAGACATTCTTTAAAGACACGTATGGATAGACAGAGGGAAAACTGGGTGCCTCAAAGAGAGCAAAAACTCAATTGTCAGATGAGTGAGGTTGGGCACCATCTACACTGACCAGTGCCCTATTCTGTGCACAAAGACCAGTGCCTGGATATAGTAGATAGTAAATAGTTAATACATCAGTGTTTTTTTTTAGTTCAATCGATAAATCTTCTCATTACCTACAGGAGCCAGGCACTGTGGTTCTGCAAGCACAATGCACAGACAGGAAGCTGCATCTGGCAGGGACAGAACGTGGCAAGAAGGTCAGGTATAGGGAGGGAGAATAGAGAGGAAGAAGGAGAAGGTGGGGTGGAGAAACAGAGGGAGAGATGAATGCACAGAATCATATATTTTATTCCATTAAGTTTTCCTTTGTAATAGGTGCACAGATTACTAACAGTACTACCTTCTGATCCCTTTCATTTGAAATAAGATGCTTCATCAGAACTTCAGAAAGGGGGATCCGGAAGTGCCTAATAAACAGATATGACCATTATGTGTCTGGTTTCACCTTCTATTCCCTGTGAACTTGAGATGTTTCTTAACCTCCCTGTTCCTCAGTTTATTTGTTAACAAAATTAGGGGAAGAATGGCACCTACTCCACAGAGCGATTCAGAAGAATAAATTAATGGGTGCTGGTCGAGTTCTCAACAGGGTCCGGTTCACTGTCATCATGAAACTCGTTTCGAGTGGTAGTAAAAAGCAGTCTCTGGAGCAGGACCGCCTGGTCTGCACCAGCTGTATGAACCGTCACTCACCCTCCCCACCCTTCTACTTCTCCAGGTGAAAACTAGTGGGGCAGGGCTGTCATGGGATTACATTAGCCAACTGCAGAAAGTACCTGAACCCCGCCTGCCACACACATGGGAACGTCAATGACCATTACTTGATTAATGTAAAATATCACTTATCTGATAGCTATCCTTCTGTCTACTCAACCCAAGAAAATAGGATAATCAGAGAACAATGCTATCAATACTTTCTGAGGACAAAAGTCTGATCTCTAAGATCACTGAAATTTCTTTAGAATGCTGATTACTTTTTGAGTTGAAGAGGAAAAAAAAATTGCTTTCTGGTGCAGTGATTATCCTAGGCAGGGCGCACAGCCCTGACCCACAGACTAATTCCTGTGCCTCAGGTCCCTCCATGACTGCTTCTAGAATTCTGTTCCATTGCTATTCAGTTTAACACATGCAACCTCCAGTCTGTCTGTTCACTGCCCTCTCCCTCCGTGAGTTTCATCCAAACCGTTCCTTCCGTCTCCATGATGTATTCTTGCTTATTTTCCTCCCCTGGGCAAGCCTCAAATGCTTCTCTCTGCTTAGAGTGCCATTCTGTCCCTCTCCTACCTGACCTTTGAATTCCTATCCAACTTTTCTCACTTTCTCTTAACCTTCCTCCTCTGTCCTTGACCTGGCATACTCCTATACACTCTTCAGAACCCAGTGAGCCATCATCTTTCTGGTGAGCTTCCCCAACCATGTCCTCACCCCGAGAGAGATTCAATCAACTTCCTCTTATGACTCTCTATCTTGTCCATTCAATTTAGCTCAGCATGCATGCATTGAGTAGTTTGGTAGGCACTGGGCTGACAACTGAGTAACATACTGTCCCTGTTTTAGAGTCGCTGAGTGACTACAAGTATGCTGTCCTATACGAGAGCCACCCATCAAGTGTGGCTCTCGTGCCCTTGATATGTGGCTATCCAAATGGAGACGCGCCATAGGTGAAAACTACATGGTAGATTTCCAACATCTGAAAACAAAAAATTATATAAAATCCTTCATTAGGTGTATTCTATTGATTACAAGTGGAAATGCCCATGTTGGGGATATATTATGTTAAATAAAATATATTCTTTCCTTTCTTTTTGCTTTTAAAGATGTGGTTGTGAGAAAATCTAAAACGTCATATGTGGCTCACGCTTATATTTCTAGTGGACAATGCTGGCGCAGGGAGACAGGGATGCGAGGGGACCATTTCCGTATACCAGACAGAGAGCAAAAGGAGAAGGATACAGACAGTGGAATGTAGCCTGGAAGAAGGGTGCCTGCCTTCCTGCTGGGAATGTGGACTCCAAGGTCATGATGCTCTGGTCCCTCCAGCTGCATCCCTCTCCACTCTCTCCAGGTAAGCTCGATACCACACAAGTATGTCCTGTTTTCTCATGGTGGGAATTCTTCTTTTCTTTCTTTCTCCCCCTCTCCCCTTCCTGGCTAACTTTTACTCCTCTCAGATGTCACCTAAGACAACACCTCCTCCAGGAAGCCTTCCCGGAATCCCCTACTCTTTACTTAAACTAGATCAAGGGCTCTAACCACGTGGTCCCTCTCTCTTTCATTTCTCCAATGCCTCGCCCCCCACATTTCTTGGTGATTGCTTGCTTAATAGCCCGGCTCCCTCGCTAGAGGAAAATTGCTGTGAGGTCCTAGAGGAGGTAAGTGGCCTTCCTTATTCCACTGTCATGTAATTTGCGGATGGTCAGAGTATTTGTGGATGAATGAATATATATGGAAGTCAACCGAATCCACAGTGTTCACAGAGTGACACATCTGCTTCAAGCACTAACTGAAATCTCCCCATGAGAAGCTTCATCATCATCAAAATTAACCTTTGGTTCCCACATGCCTGGACCTGAGTTCAGAGTAAAGACACTCATGTTTGCACTTCCATGTTTCCATATGTTCCATACACACTCATGTTTGCACGTGAAGTCTCATTGGTAATGTGGGAGGACGTGATCTTCCGTCCTTCAGAATCCACAGTGACCTGAATAGATTTGGCTTAGAAAGGACTCTGTGTGCACTTAGACAATGAATCCCAGGAGGGTGGGTGGTGGCCCGGTGCAATAAAGACTCTATGGATTCGTTTGTAATGTTCCTGATGTCTCACCTAGGTCAGAAGAAGAGATGTTCAGTTATCATGGGATGGATAAACGGATGGATGGGTGGCTGGACAACTGAATGGCTAGCGGAGGGGCAAATGATTCAATACGTGAATATACTAGAAGTAAGAGCCAGGAGGCAGAGGAAATAAATATTCCAAGTGTCAGTGCTGGCTCTCCATGGGACCCAGAGAAAAAAAGGTGCAACAGACACAGCTCCCTTTGGACTAAAAACTGGTAGAAGCAAGCCTTAGGTCAAGAGGGGTTAATGGGCTTCTTGCTGCATTATTAAGACTTAATTTCTTGTTTATTAAGAGAATGTTCTGTTTAGAGTTGCTTTCCCTTTTGGGCATTCCTGCAAATTGCCTCTTCACCCCACATAGGCCTTTCTTCCATCACTCTGTCATCCAGGGGATTTGCCTCTCTCTCTCTGCACCACCTCTTTCAGAGGGGGACAAAGTGGGACTCAGACGCACAGGGGATGGGATGAGATGGCAGCCGAGCACTGTACCTTGTGAGTGTAGAGGGGATACTGCTTCTGTGTGGAGGAGGGGAATGTCTGGATTTGGAGTCCCCTGGGGCATCCTTCCCCACTCCCTTCTGAGTTTCTGTGACTTCGTTCCTTTCCCTTAGCCCAGGGGAGTTTTCCCAAAATGCAGGGTGGGGAATAATGAGTAGACACACAAAAGTACACATAAGCACAAAAACATAAGCTCTCGTGAATAAAAAGACATTCATGTAACTCACACGCATTCATACACATGTGCAACCTCACAGATACACATATACTAGGCATCTTTTCTATATGCTGGAGTCCCTTCTGTATGCACATGTGGACTGTGGGTGTATGTATGTCTGCACAAAGATGAACTCACATCCAGGTCTATCTAGGGAGGCGTCTGCACACATCTGTCTGCTGGGGGAGGCGTACAGTCCCACGCATGCCAACTTGACCATACGCATTACACAGACACCCAGCTCCAAGGTGTTTCCTTTTGAGGGATGGAGGGAAACTGCTATCCTCGTATTCCTGTGTCATTCTAGACCCCAATTCTTCCCCTTACCACCGCCCATGAGAAAAATCTTGCATAGCAAGTCCATTATGAGTTCAATCCATTTCACCAAAAATTTGAGGAGCCCATGGTGTGGGCACGGGTCAGCCCTCCTGCTGCCTTTCCTTCCTCTTACCTCTCCCTCAGGAGCCAAATAAAGACATGTACTTGTCCTCCATGGGACAGCTTAAGATCATCTTTTTTTGTTTGAGCATGCCCTTAGGAACTCACCTGACACCTTGAACAGCTTATCAGAACATTTCTTCTAAATCAACATGGTGTTCGTTTAAAGAAAAATTACACAGAACAACATGTTCTGCACCTTTTTGCATTTAGGCAGGAAAACGGATATCCAGGCGAAAAGTGAATTTCTCAATGTCTCCTATTCACCTAGTAAGTGGTAGGAATGGGCTTGAATCCCAAATCCACCAGTTCCTTACCCCCATGAAATTACAAATACTTATAATAAGAATAATAAAACACCACCAACCATAGCAACAATTTGTTTGGTGCCCAACACTGTGCTCAGCACACTTAATGCTTCTTTTATTTAATTTCATAATATGCAGGTCTAGTTATACAAGAGGAAACCAAGGCTTAAAGTAGGTGTCCCCAAACTGGCATGGACCAGGAGACAGGACTGGAACCAAGGCAGGTGAACTCTAGAGCCTGCCCTTTTATTCACTGTAACTGACCCCATCTCCCCCTCCCCTTGCAAGAGGAGGCCCTCAAAAACCACTGTTCCATGAATGAGTGAGTGGAAACGGGACGTCAGAAGGACTGCATGCAGGGTGTGTCTGGCACATTTGTGTTCAATCAACAGTGCATCCCTTCCCCTTCCTGCTCCCCACTCCTCCAGGCTGAGGACTGAGGGAGCATTTAGGGCCTGCTGTCCAACACTGGAGCTCAGTCCAAAGATCTGTATATTTTAAAATGTTGTGCTATAAAAACAGAAGAGGAACAAGGCTCTGTGAATAATTCACCACTCCGCCTTGGAGAAATTAAAAATATATTTCACAGCCAAAGAAAGGGCTTTGTTAGTTGGGATTTCCAGGGACTCGGACAGAATGCAGCTTCTAACTGAAGGACTGAATTGGTTGCAATATATTTTTCTTTTCTTTTCCTTCTTTCTTTCTTTCTTTCTTCTTCTTTTTTTTTTTTTTTTAATTCAAGTGAAATGGGATGTGGAGAAGTTCAAAGGGAAAGGGGTACAGGTGAATGAAACACTCAATGACGAAGTGATTTCATCTTCACTTTACAATAGAATAGAATGTGTACTATACATTCTAACATTCAAAGTCCTACTAAACTTAGTATTTGACTAGCAACAGGAGACAAATACACACTGGTGGGTTGATTTTGGAATGGGTGGGGTGGGGGGTTGGTGAATGAGCTGGTTAAAGAGATAACTGATGTTGAGTCAAAAAAAAAAAAAAAAGAAGAAGAAGAAGAAAAGAAAAGAAAAGAAAGATGCAGACTTTGTGGACAGAAAACCCAAAGTTAAAAACTTAGGATAAACTGTGCTTTGCTTGTTTTTAGTTTAAATAAATAGAACAAAAAACAGAAACAAGAGAAACCCTTAGCTTTGTCACTTGCTAGCCATTCCTCTCTCCTAGCTCCCAGCTTCCTTAGCTAGACAATGGAAATGTCCGGAAGACACTTGCCGATTTTAAGGACTACCAGCAACAGGGGAGCCCTACTGCTGGCAAATAATAAACACTGGCTTTTCTTATTGTGCAGATGGATGAGTTTGCCCAACCAGCTTCTCCCCCGACATTCCCCACGTCATCAAATTCCTAATCTGGGCTTCATCCAAGTGTACACTGCGTGCTCAGCCTCGAAAGCGCAGCCACCTTCCTGGTGCCTGGCCGATTCCTGCCGACCTAAAATGTTGCTTCCCCCATGACGCTCAGCCCTCCTCTGAAGAAGATAGAATGAAATGATCACACCTCCGTCCACCTGCCTTGCCTCTGCCAAGACATCAGTCTTGTTTAACTGTCAAGGGCCAAATCTACATGCAACCTAGCAGTTCTCTGAGCACAAGATGCTGAGCTCCACCAGCGAAAAGCCGGTCTCAAAATTCAGTGGCCCTGGTCCCTGTGGCAGAAAACTGATGTCCAAGGGATTGTAGCTCATAATGTAAAATGTTGCATGTAGGCAAGAACCAGAAGCATCAAAATATGCTAGTTTGTACCATATCCCCCTTTCAAAAAATTTATATCCTCCCTATTAGCCTTCCTGCTCTCCTTACTCCCTTAGAGATTGGTTGGACATGGGGAGGGATGGGTAAGGCTAAGCAGGATGGAACAATTAGTCTGCTTTCCTATTAACCTCCTCCAAGCCCATAGAAGATACAAATAATACCCTCCTTGTAAAATGATAACCTCAAATTATCAGTCCCTCAAGCAGACTTAAATAAACAAAGGCAATTCTCTAAACCATATCTGAAGCTTCATTATTTCCCCAGATTAGACTGCATTCCAAAGGAACTAATCCAATAATCAGAGAAGGCACCCCTGACGAACTGAGCTAATTCCAAGGTGAAGGTCCAGAAGTTAGTACTTCCGCAGAAGTTAGCCAACTCATGTTGGACGGTCCCCAGAGAAGGGAATCAAGGGCTCTGACGTGAACACAGCCACCAAGACGAGGCAGCTTCTCTGGTGATAGCTGCTTTTGAGTGACGTCCAGTGGAAGAGATGTTAGTCTGGCTTTGATCCTAGGAGGCCCCACCCTCCCCTCCGACTCCGGCCCAGGAGCGCAAGGCTCTGGCCCTGCAGCTGCCAACCTACCTCCCAAGGTGGCCGAGATGAGAAGGTGGGTGCCGTACTTTTTGATGATGGTGTCGATGAACTGCTGCGTGGTAGGTCTCCGGCCAAGCAGGCGGATGCTCCTCTGAAACTCTGGCATGAGGGGCACCGGGTGGCGGACCAGGTCTCTCCTCTCGATGGCTGTGTTCCTCACCTTCCAACGGGCAAACTCCCTGGGTAGGAGAGAGGAGCAAGATGCCTCGATTTACCACTTCTACCCCCAAGGCAGAGTCTATACAGTTATCCCACCCAGGACTCGCTCCTGAAGGTGAGAGAGTGACGATTATTTTTAATATCTGTCAGGTGATACTGAGATCTGAGGCCCTCCATTCTCCAGCCGACAGATATGTACCGTGCAGGTCGCATCACCAGGACGCTGTGGAGAGCCAGACAGACACAGTCACGTTCTCATGCTGCTGACAGAGCATCAGGATACAAAAGTCACCGTTGCCTGGTTGCTTATCCCTCTCTCTCACCAGACTGTGAAGGAGCCCACAGGGACGGGATCTTCTCTGATACCTGTTACATGGTAGGACTCCAAACAATGCCACCCGAAGGAGTCAACAAACGAGTGGACAGAAGGATGGAAGGAAGGGAGGGAGGAAGAGAGGGGACAAGGGAAGGCTATTCACAGCGGGGAAGACCTAGGGCAGGAAGCAAGTTGAGACACGCTCTAGGACAATTCCCAAATCAGATAATTAGCCCGGAGGTGGTTTTATTTACCATTTTAACATGCACTCTGTGAGCATTTGCCACTTGGAATTAATAAAGCTATGTCGTGGGTGGCACGCGGGAGAACTTCCATTCTTCCCTTTGCTAACGATGAAAGGGATCGAGACTGAAGACCTTCAACCTGGGAGTCCAATCTCACTCTGCCTCTCGCAAGCTATGCGGGGCCATCCCGGGCAAAGCTTGTCACTTCTCTGGACTTATATCTCCTTATCTATAAAATCCAATTAATATTATCTCCTTCTTCCTGCTGGGGCACAGATTACATGCAACAGCGGCTGTGAGAACTCCTTTGGAAACTGCCAGGTACTAATCCAGTGTGAAAGAGAGTTTTATAACTTCATATCCTCACAAATTCCCAGACAGGAAAATCATTAAAGGTTCATGGGCAATGAGCAAGGAGCATACAAACCGAATACGAGTAGAAATTTGAAGGGCGGTGGTTCAGGCTGCTTTTGCTTTAATAATGACCTCTGTTCCTATCAACGATGAAGCTCCTCGTGGAGCAACCAGCGCTCTGGACTGCCTGAATTACAAGCCCCAAGACCCTTGAGAAAAACAGACTAGCCAAGAGGACGGGAGGTCAGCCTAGATAAATGATGGGAACCAGAGTTTAATGAAAAGGTCTCCCTCTCCTGCCGCAAGATGGGAGAGACGAATGAAGGCAGGAGCATGGAACAAGGAGAAGCAGAACAGGGAGGAGATCACCCCAGAATGTGCCCCTGTAATTCAGCGGTGGGGTCTGACCCCCGATGCAGAAAAACATGGGTCTGAAAATACGCTTTCAGACTGGTACATTTCCAAGCCTCAGAGCTTATCGTCTGTGTCTGCTTGTGGAATTTCTGTTCATAATTCTTAACACCGTTGAAACTCTAAATAAAGTCAGTTCAGTACCCTGCACATCGTCCGTTCTTATTAAGTCAATCAGCTGCCCTCCAAGACCCTCACAGGCAGCACCAAGAAAGTGCCAAGTCTGATGTCTCCGGAAGGGGGGGTGGACACTTCCCAGGCCCGCGTCCTGAGGAAGCTCAGAGTCCGGCAGGAAAGATAAGATGTTTCCAGTTTGTAGTCAGTCCAGGACTAGAGGACACAGAACAGCCCAGACTTCTCAGGTCTCCAGGGGAACTTCAGAGAAGAGGTCATAGCTGAACTATGGTTCTGAAGTCCACAGAGGCTTTAGACAGAAATGTGGTGGAGAATAGCTCTCCCCATGGAAGAAAGGGCAGGAGCAGAGCAGGTGTGGGGGAGGACCGTGAGATACGGGAAGAGCCGAACAGGTGGGCAGGGGGAGGACAAAAGGGAGCAAGTGGGACAGAGGGAGGGGACTTTCGAGCAGGTAGAGGCTTGTGGCATGACTCCCATGACCCCCATGCCCCGGGGTTCACACCCCTGTGCAACCAGTTGCCTCTGCTTGAGTGTGGGCAGGAAGGGACCCAGCGACTTGCTTCTAATGGGTGGAATGTGTAAGCGATGGAATGTACCTTCCAGGATTCAGTTACAAAAGATTTCAACTACCGTTTTGCCGGTCCTCTGTGTGTGTGTGTGTGTGTCTCAGTCTCTCTCTCTCTGCCATGGTGTGAGATGCTTTGTGAAGAGATCCACGTGGCCAGGAACCAAGAGAAGCCCCCGGCCTGCAGCTTCCAAAGAAATGGGATCCCAGAAGGCCCTGAGTCCTAACAGTAACCGCACGGTGAGCTGGGAGGCAGACCCTTCCAAGCTGAGCCTCGAACCCATAACCACAGCCTGGAGAGAGCCACACCACCCAGGGAAGCCACACTCAGGCACCCAGGCCACAGAAACTGTGAGATAATAAATACTGTTATATCAAGCCACTAAGTTATGGAGGTAATTTGCTACTCACAAAGAGATGACCTTAAAAGGCAATGAGGATCATCAGATATTTCTGAGGAAAAGAGTCTTTTCTTATCAGCTTATGCCCCAAATTTCTAAAATTACATATAAATGTAATTATGAAATTATGTATGTGCATAGAAAATACTCGTACTTCAGTGTAACAGACAAATATATATATATATATATATATATATAATCACTTTGTTTTATAACTTACGACCTTGGATTACTATTTTTTTTCCACGTGTCTATGACTACATTCTTCAAAACCAATGTGCATTTACACACAGAGAGGTTTAAGTAATGTGCCAAAAGTCACATAGCTAGATAGTGGTAGAGCTGGGAGAAGAAAACTGGTATCTGGATTCTTGTATCAGTCTTTCAATATAGATACTGAGACATAAAATGTAAAAGCTATAGAACCAGGTACTACCAGTCCCACCATCAAATTACCTGCTCAAGACTCAATTCTCTCCCTGGCCCCCTCTTCCCTCCTGACTTCCTCCCTCTCTCTCTTTTTTTTTTTTTTTTTTAAGATTTTATTTATTTATTTGACAGACATAGATCACAGTAGGCAGAGAGGCAGGCAGAGAGAGAGCTCCCTCTCTCTTTTTTCCCACAGCCTCTACCATCTTTCTGATGCTCACCAACTACCCAGCCAGGGCCTGCCATTCAGTTGCTTCCTTAAAGACATTAGGGAGGCAGCTCGTGCTGAGTCCCCAGCTCCTTCTGCATAGGACAGGTGCAAGGCCTAAGTGGGGGGATGCATAGATGGGCTAAGCACACAGCAGGGGACTTGGGAAGAGTTCAGAAGCTGTGTGTGTGTGTGTGTGTGTGTGTGTGAGAGAGAGAGAGAGAGAGAGAGAGACAGAGACAGAGAGAGATTAGGAAGCACTGACTCTGCCAGGCACCTGCCTTTTTCCAGCATCACAGGGCTCCTGATGCAAAGGAATTCTCTGACCTTTGAGGCAGAAAGTGCATGTTTAGGAAAGCCCTGAAATCATGCTGTACTATTTGTAATGGTAATTTTAGTCAAAGAAAGAGTCCTGCCCCAATCTGCAAGAGATGCAGGGGTGGCAGTGGGGGTGGCAAAGAATTCTGTTGTATCAGTTCCATCTTGATGGGAGGGAGGATTTGGCCAAAGAGAGGGGAAGTGTGTTTCAAGAAGAATGAACTCCCCGAGCACAAAGGGAGGATGAGGCAGGTGGAGAGAGAGGGGTGTGCGTGCATGTGTGTGCATGTGTGAGGGAGATGTAATGAGGTAAAGGCAGAGAGGCTGCCAGTGACCCCATGATGAAGGGCCTTGGGTGCCTAACCATGTTACTGGATTTCAATCTCTCAACTCTTCTGAGTGACCAACAATCCAGACTAAAAATGTGTGAAGAACGAATTTATGTGACTTCAAGGCCATCGTAGGGATACTGGAGCAAAGACTGGAAGAGTTACAGGATTCTAAAATGTTAAACTGTTTACCAAAGTTCCCTAAGTAAAAGGGCTTCCCAGCACTTAGACCTATTCAGAAGGAGATTTAAACAACACTGGAGCTGAATCAGTTGAATTTGTTTCCAAATCTGGGCACCTACTGTTTTTCCAGATCTGAGGATACAGCAGCAAAAAAATTAGCTGATATTAAACAGCTTAAACTTTGGTGAGAGCGCACAGCTCATAAAGAACCAAAGCAGTAACAAGCTGGAGGGGAGGAGTGCTGTGAAGACAAATAAGGTGGAGGAAGGCAGTCAGGATGCCCAGGGGTAGGGTGAGGGTGTGGTTATAGAGACGGCCTTCTTAACATGATGACAGGAAAAGAGAGACCTGAAGAAAATGAGGAAGGGACCAAGGGGCCACTGGTGGAAGGGTGTCCAGGAAGAAGGAAGAGCAGGTGCGAAGGTCCTGAGGTAGGACTGTTTGCTAGGTTTGGGGGACATCAAGGAGGCAGTCCTAGGGGAGCCTGGATGGCTCAGTGGGTTAAGCCACTACCTTCGGCTCAGGTCATGATCCCAGTGTCCTGGGATGGAGCCCCGCATTGGGCTCTCTGCTCAACAGGGAGCCTGCTTCCCCCTTTCTCTCTACCTGCCTCTCTGTCTACTTGTGATCTCTGTCAAATAAATAAATAAAATCTTAAAAAAAAAAAAAGGAAAGAAAGAAGACAGTCCTAGATATGCACATAAGTAGAGGAGATGAGATAAAAGGAAGGGTGGGAAGAAAAAAATAACATTAAAATATAGGATGGAGTGGGCATTGGTCTTGAAAGGCTATGTTGGATTTGGTAAAGATGTCCTATTTTTAAATTCCAAATAATGTATGCAGTCAAAAGAAGGTTTTCAGCAATGACACAACCTAGGTTCTAAAAGAGGAGCCAGAGAGTCTGTCACAGCTACTCAGCTGTGTCCTTGTGGTGTGAGCAGCTGTAAACAGTACATAAACATGTGGGTATAGATGCGTTCCAATAAAACTTTATTTATAAAAGCAGGTGGCAGGCCAGATTTAGTCCCTAGGGAATGTGGCCTCTGTTCTGAAAGCATCACTATGACTCCTTTGGTAGAAGTCATCAAATCCAACTCACTCAGTTCATGGGTGGGAAAACTAAATT